TATATATATATAAAATTTTATTTTTTTGTGGATTTGGAATGATATGTAGGACAAACATAGAATCTTAATCATTTTTGTGGGAAAAAAAATGTGTTACTGAAGTTAACGTTAGTTTCTTGTTCAGCAGTTTTGTGCCATCCTTGAATGGTCATTTTTCAAGTAAGACAGCCCCTTGTACAGGAAAAAATATATATCGGAAAACCCGTGCACTTAGTTCCGTATTGTCTTAAATTCCCTCCTTTGAATGCATGTTAGATGCCCAGGGCCTCACCCCCTCCACCCCTCTCTTCATACGCCCTTGCTCTCAAGTAAAAAAAAAAAAAATGTTATGCTTCAACCACAAACAAATCAGTAAAAGTTACATTCCCCCTCGTTAGACAGTCGCCTTTGTTAGCGTACAACGACTCCAATGGTAATTAGAAAAGAGGGAAATAATTGTTCAGTCTCACATGACTGAAGGCCCCGAGGATGCAGAGCAAAAGCGGCAGAGTGCTGAATCGCTAATTTTCATCTCTTAATGTCAGTTTTTTATGATTTTATGATTATGATGACTTTTGAGTTTCATTTCCCTTGGGAAAAAACGGCAAACACAGAAAAGTTTTGTGAGGTATACGTGCCCATACATCTGGACAGGTGATGTGTGTGTGTGTGTGTGTGTGTGTGTGTGTGTGTGTGTGTGAGTGTGTGTGTGTGTGTGTGTGTGTGTGTGTATGTGTGTGTGTGTGTATGTGTGTGTGTGTGTGTGTGTGTGTGTGTGTGTGTGTGTGTGTGTGTGTGTGTGTGTGTGTGTATGATCAAACATGCAATATAGGCTGCAGAAACCAAAATAAATAATGCTGACCTACTTATTCCATTTTGATTCAAAATGAATGTGAGAAATGCATGACCACGCACCCGTGCACCAGCTATGCAAATGCCGCAAAACTATCAGAGGGGTCCTGTTTCGTTCTGGTTAAGTGACTAATCACTTATTTGGCTCTGACTAATGAGAAACATCGTAATCATACTTTATGCTTCATGTGACAAGCAAAACCAAAAAGCATGCGAAAACGAGCGTGGGAGGATGAGGAGCGTGTGATTCATCCGTTTACCGCTTGTGTCGTCAGAATCGACGGAGGTGACACATCCCCGGAATGTTTTCCAAATAAACAGACTGTACATCAAACTGTTATTTCGACAGATGTTTGGATGATGATATTTTGTCGCAAAGCGGCCACCGTAGCCTGCTGCTATGAAACAGTTTCATGGTTTGTAAGTAGGCAATTATAGCAATCAATGAGTGATAACATTACATTTTAACATGCTAACGCTACCGCATTAATTTAACGAGGCATGAATGGATTCCTGAAAATGACGGTAAGTCGAATTAAGACAAAAATCCATTCATTTTATAATTTTTAAAAATTGACGGTTTCAAATTAGACTGTTGAAAAAGCTACTAGACAACGGGCATATTTTTTTGTCCTATATGTAAATAAATCAAAATTGTTACAAAAATTGTGTTTTGAGTGTGGAGCGAAGACTTCGAAATTGCGTTGTCTGTGTATATGACCACCATCATCACTTTCCGAAATACCGATGCTTTCAAAGATATTTGGCATAAATGTTGCTGTTTACATGAGCAAACGACATCATTCTCAAAAACCTCAATATCGCTTCACTAAAAGATCATCTCAAAAGGCATATCAGCTGGGACGCATCGGAATGAACGGATTAACCCTGTTCAGACGTGACTGAAGAAGGGAGGCAATCTCTTTGTGTGCGTGCCATGTAGCTAGCGTGCACACATCCGTACAACATGCGTATGGGAGGTGTTAGTGTGTCATGTTTCGTATTTCCCCCCCCTGTACATGCCATCTGTTCGTGTCCCGAAATTGCGAGATGGCTTTTCTGCTCAGGCTCATATTAGGTGCTGTGTAAACATCTGCAGTTGCCTATTCTGTATGGAAGCCTTCGACCCACTTCCTTTTGATTCTCTGCGCAGCTGCTAATGGGCTCGGTGACTGATTGGGCAGAGTTGGCCACATGCAGCAGCTATTATTTTCTCTAGAATTTGCATTTTGTCTTTTTTTTTTTCTTCTGGTGTGTTTTGCGCGGCAGTGCAAGATGTCATTCCGCCCACCTATTTTGCCTGCATACTATTCGTCAGCCGCAGTATCCCCCCCCCCCCCCCCCGCCCAGGACAACCGCATGTTGCGGCTGCATCTGGGGAGATCCCTTCCCGCTGCGCGTCTATTAAAAGAACGAGCTGCACGACTGCTCCGATAGATTCATAAAAATGTATTAGGAGCCCACTTGGAATAGAACCCTACAGTAGAAAACCCATAACTCCGACATTTTCATGTAAAAAAGTTATTTCTGTGTCAGTATAGGTGTTAAAGAGACCTTTCCGGAACACGGTGTTTAATATTAACTGCTTATACGGTCCTCAATTCTGACATTTCGAGGTGACCATCAACACGTTGAAAGCAGACTCAGTCAACATTGTTTGTCCTGTTTTTTGGGTGGATTGTTTTATATTTACTGCATAGTGCTTATTTTTGCAAGGCGCAATATAATACATTGAGAACATGCATGCAGTGACTTGAACTTTAGATTTTAGATGCCTTTATTTTATTCTGAAAAATGGTCTCAAAATACCACACGTTTCCAACGTCAGGGGTGATGGCAAATTTAAAATCTGACATCCGGTTCACTTTTTGATGGTTGAATTTGGAATTGTACGAATGATTGGGCCTCTTCGCATTTTTTTTTTTTTTTTTGCCTAGGAATTTTTCTGTCCCTCTTTGGCTTTCCACACCAACATCAAGTTAACCTCTCAAGCAACTCTCACTGCTGGTGACAACCTGACTGAATCAAATACAAGGACGCGTGTATTTCTGTAGTCCATCTTCGGAAAATAGCACTCGCACGCTCTAGACTTAGGTCAGCAATATTGCCCGTTGCGCAACGACTTCGGTTCCAAAAAGTGGGATGCAATTCATTTTAAAACGGTGCCGTCTGCGTTTGAAAGGAAGCCCATTTTTTCTCTCCCCGGGGATCAGTTCCAGCTCACACAAAATCCTAATGAGAATAAGCAGTGCTCAAATGGATGGGTGGATGGAAGTTGAGCAATTATAGAACCCTATTAATGAAATTACACCTCATGACAAAATATTGCTCTCAATGTACATCAGTTAATATATTGCATTGATTGTTTTTCTTTTTTTTGGGGGGGGGCGGGGGGGTAAATAGGTCAGGTGGTCTAATCATAAACCATGAATATTTGATCCTCACCGCACATTTACACGAATTTCACTCCCACAGGAGTGACCACTGTCCTGACCATGACCACCCTGAGTATCAGCGCCAGGAATTCTCTCCCCAAAGTGGCCTACGCCACCGCTATGGATTGGTTCATCGCCGTGTGCTACGCCTTCGTCTTCTCAGCCCTCATTGAGTTCGCCACAGTCAACTACTTCACCAAGAGGGGTTACGCCTGGGATGGAAAAAGCGTGGTGCCAGAGAAGGTATTTCAGATCTCAGTTTTCATTCTAAGCAGACCCTGAACTGATTGAATCACAGGGGAGAGTCTGCGAGGTCAGAATATTGTGAATTCTCCCCATTTTCCGAAGTCTTAATGTCTATTTCGGCGAGATTTGTCATCTGGGTTTGGATTAATTTTCAGTATGGTGTCAAATGTGTGAGTCCAGCGGAGAAAGGACGCATGAGACTTCTTCATTTTTATTTATTTATTTAATTTTTTTGCACACGGGGGCAGTTTAGCACTTAACTGCTGTGGGAGCTGCAGCAGGCGGGGGAAGCATTTAGTTGTCATCTCCGAGAAAATTCAATTTGTGTAACATGACGTGAACATTAATAGTTTAGTGTTCATCTCGTGCTTTCTGCTCCACTTGTCTGTGTGCGGCGTTTAGCGGCGCAACGCTGCTTCGGAGGACAATTTTCTTTTTTTTTTTTTTTTAAACAGGTTTATTGATTTGTATGAATCATTAGGTTGCCGATGACGCAATGTCAGCAATGACTATTATTCATCGTTGGAAGAATAACTGCACACAGCTTTCTCAGATGAGCAGTGCAGTCTGATGCGAGTCATTTCTCATGATTTGCAGTCTTTTGTCAAACTGACATTTTAACAATGACAAAAGACTGTATGATGGAAATTTGAATTGAGGGCCAAACAATCCAATGAAATCTCAGAAGTCAAATAACAATCCATCCTGTTTTTTAATGATGACATGATTATCCCATTATAAAAATAAGTTGACTTTTTTTTTAATATTAAAAAGTTTTTCTTTCTCAAGAGCTCGTGCAGATGTTTCATCCATTGGATCGCGTCCTTACGCTGATCCCTCTCTTTGTTTTTCTTTCCTCGTCAAACCAACCCAGCAAAAGAAGAAGAAGGAGTCCATGCTGAAAAAGAACAACACAACAGCGTACCCGGCTGCCACTGCTACAGCCTTTGCTCCCAACATTGCCAGGGACCCTGGATTGGCCACCATTGCCAAAAGCGCCCCTCCACCCCCGACTGAGCCCAAGGAGGAGCCAAAGCCCAAGCCCCCAGAGGCCAAGAAAACCTTTAACAGCGTGAGCAAGATAGACAGGATCGCCAGAATAGCCTTCCCTCTGCTCTTTGGAACCTTTAACTTGGTCTACTGGGCCACCTACTTGAATAAGAAGCCCAAACTGCAGGGGATGACGCCACACTAATCCACTGTTTGCTCCTTTGCAATTCTACCTGTCTAACTTTCATTTTCTTTGGTATTCCTCAAAAGAGAAACAAACAAAAAAAAATGTGTTTATTTTCAGACATGATCTCCATGCTGGTTTGAATTCCCAGTCATTGCATTGCTTCTTTTTATCTACATTTTGAAGATTTGGAGAAAACAACATAGAGGATTAAATAAAAAAAATAAATACTTCCAAAAAAAAAAAAGAAAAAGAAGCGCAAGAGATGCAGACTTTTAAAAGGGTGTTGTTCAGGTGTGGGGATGATGCTTTTAAGAAAATGCTACCGTAAATATATAGCCGAGAGGGGAATGCTATTCTTCGAGTACACAGAGCCCAATCTTGTCATGGGCTTTTTCCTTTGTACATTGTATATTTTCTTATGTTGCGGGATTGCAGCTCTAATCCTTGCCGCGGGAGTCTCGAGAGTTATGACCATTTGAGGGAGGGATAAATAAATAGAACAAATGTGGATTCGATGAGGGAGACAGACCAACAATTTCTTCTGTTGTGCAGACAGCAACGACTTGTAACTAACTGTCCGGTATATCTGCAACGTTGCAACCAATGTTCATCTCGGCAACACAGGCTTGGCAAAAGGACAAAGTGACAAATAGGTTGACGCAAACTGTGCTGTCGGTTGTTGGAAACCACTCGAGTCAAGCCCGTCTCTCATGACGTTTGTTGTAGTATTACCATAGTATCGCCGTATTTCCGCAAATAGTGTCTGAGGTTATCTACTTCACGGCTGATGAGGGGCGACATCATTTGATATGACACCACGTCATCGATATATTAAAGTCCATGTAAAGTGAAAGTGGAGTTGAAAAACAAAATGGACCGTTCTGATGGAGAAATGCTGAAAAACTCAGGCTCAAACATGTAACCATGGATACACACACACACACACACACACACACACACACACACACACACACACACACACGCACACACAACATTGTGGACCGATCACACGTTAAGTCAACCGGAAAGCTAATCGCTGTTCAAGACGATTCCACCTGATGTTGGCTCATCATAAAACACTGCGCAGGGAACTCGCTTACAACATACGGTAATACGCCACCTTTTAGTTAATCCGAGATACTGTTTATGTGATTCGGTAGGTGCTGCTGTTTTGGTTCACAACGGAGTTCAAACTCGCTCAGCGGTTGACTTTTTAAAGTCTGTCTTTATACTTGTAAGAGGGCCATTATTGGAGGAAATGTGTTACCAGACGTTGACGCTCTCCAATCAACGGCATGTACCCCGCCCAACTTGTATTCTTTTATTCAAAGTACAACTTGAACATTTGGAGGTACATGCTTTTGCATTGGATCGCGTTAATATGAAGAGTACTGCCAAAATATTAAATTTCAGTAGTTTGTGCCAAAACGCCCAACAGTGGCCAAAAAATAAATAAATTACCGTATTTTCCGCACTATAAGGTGCTTCGGAGTATAACGCGCACCTTCCAGGAATGGCATATTTTAAAACTGTTTTCATATATAAGGTGCACCATATTATAAGGCGCATAGAATAGAAGATACAATAATGACTGAGGTTGCATTATGAATCCACTAGATGGAGCTACGCTAAAGGGAATACAATACATACAGTTTTATTTATAGAGCACTTTCACCACCGCTGCAGCTGTAACAAAGCGCTTCACAGAACATTTCCAATACTTCGCCCTAGAAATCAGAATATTGATCCGTATATAAGTAAAATCGGATTATAAGGCGCACTGACGGCTTTTGAGAACATTGAATGCTTTTATGTGTGCCTTATAGTGCAGAAAATACGGTATTTTACTTTTCTTATCATACCTACAAACTAGTGTGGAAGATTCTGCCATAGTTAAACCCAAAATTATTCAGACACGGCTCACGTTTTGAAGCAAAGTGAATTATTGGTTTTATTCATTATTGGCAGGTTGCAGCCATTGTCCTATTCAAGAATGCATTCTCTTTTTAGTGTATTGATGGTAATATTTCTATGGACACACAAACATACCATTTGTATGACTTTAAAGGCTCGGGCCCGGAAGCTTCCATTTGCACCCGAAACAAACCAGCCCGTTTGTATTTTATTTACTTCTTCACATTGCTTAAGTGCAGAAATGTCAAACAGCACGCGCGTATATGCATGGGCAGGGCATCCTCAAAACCACGCCACGATTACATAGACCGCCGGCTTTTGTTTCTTTACTCAAAAGACATCCATCAGCCGTTCTTCGAAATAAGTTGGGATTTCTGCAATAGCAATAAACACACGTCTCAGTGGACCCACCGTTCATTGCTCGCCGAAAATAGAGTAAGAAAACAAAACAATCAATCTCTGGTTCGAAATGAAAATGATAACGTATTTTAATTGTCACAGTCTTTGTAAATATTCTCAGATGTTAGAGATGTCAATATTACGTTGGGGTAACTAAAGGGTATGTTTAAAAGAATACTTGGAGGCGTTATTTTGCGTTCTATGATACACATGGTCTATTTTGTGCTGTTGGGACTGGTTTTCTTTTTTTTTTTGCCAAATTTTGTGTATGAATCTCAATTTTTTTTTTTTTGGTTCACGCAGATGTAAAAACGGTGTAAAAAGTGAAGAATGTAATGAATCGTTTTCAAACCTTTGTTACATTTTAGTAATGTACAATCATTACTTCCTGTTTTGGCTGTTATAAGGTGGTGGGGGAGGGGCTTGTCTGCCAAAAAATGACGAACGCAAAGCCAAGTTGGGTATAATTTAACGAAGCGGCGAGGCACATTGCAGAGGAGGAGAAGTGCCTTTTCGATACTTTAAGAGTGTGATGATGGCTTTGCTGATTGATGGCACATGTTGCGTTTTGTGACCCACTGTGACCCCAAAATCTTTTTGCATTTTTTATTGTTTCTGTATTTTTATTTATTTATTTGTTTTTGCGATGTTCATTTTTTGAGCTGAAAGTTGTCAACGCTCAGAAAGTACCAGCTACACTGCCTTCAGTATCAGATGCCCTTTTAGAATCGATTTGTTGCTGCTGTGTGGATGAGAGAGAACGTGAGGGGGAGGGGTGGGGGGCTTGGGGTAAGAGCCAGAAGACGACGTTGAGGTGTGACGTCGTAATCTTACGTTTACCCACGTCGGTACTGAGGACTTGAGTCGTTCTATGAAAATGAATTTATTTTTGTAGCAGGATGTCAGCCCCTCTCTGGGGAAAAAAATAACAGAAAGGTGACAGGCTAGTGTTTTTTTTTTGTTTGTCTGTTTGTTTGTTTTTGTCTTGAACGTTGCTCATGCTATTTATTTATTTATTTTTTTGTCTTATTCCAAATCCGAACAATTTCTCGGCCATCAAGCTTTCGGAACAGCCCAGTTTGAATTCTGTTAATGTAGCAATATTACTTAGCAAGGGCTTTTCTCGAACCTCAGCTTGAAACTTAGTGAGGGGTTGATTGCTAGCGTAGCTTTACGTCAATTCCTATTGTCGTTTGTATGCTGCAAATCTCTTTTTCTTTTTGTGTTCAGACCAAGGTTTAATTTTTGGTGTCTACACTGAGATGAAAAGCATTTGTCACTTCCTGCAAGCTATGACAGTTCCTACTCACTTGTAATTGAATTTATTTAAAGCGATTTCCATTGTTTTCGATTTTTTTTATAAATTGGATTTTACGCTGCTTATTATTTTATATTATTTTCAGCACACACTCTATTTTTATCTATTTATTTTTAAAATATTTATTTATATTTATTATTTAGATCAATTTTAATGTTTGTGCATTGCTTTTGTTTTTCCTGTCAACGCGCGGATGAGGTCACAATCTATAATGCGGGTTTATACTTTTCTTATGATTTGCATGATCAGGATTACCAGTACTGAACATGTCCCTAATAGGCCACTTATAAGCGGAGGGGGTGAAGGAAGTGCAAAGTTCAGGGTGAAGAGTTGTACACAGAGAGGATATAAATAAACTATTGTAGGTATGTCGATTACGATGAAGAAAATCCTATATATAAATATATAAATATATAAATATGTAAAATACATGACGCATACAGTATTTGATTCTATTACGGAAGATATTAGCTCAAACTGATGAATATTGTTTGTATTCTCAACCTATTGTTATGCATTTTGCACATTTAGATGAAGAATAACATTACTTGTATGTAGTCGGCATCGTGCTATGCAAGGACAGCTTTGAACCACCGATTTATGACCGTGTCTCCATTGTGTTTCAGATTTACAAGCTATTAAATTAAAAGGAGTAAAAAAAAAAAAAAAAAAAGGAAGCTTAGCTTTTTTTACATCAACTGTGCACCCATTCACTTTTTTTTTTTTTTTTTTTTAATTAATTGAAACCATGGTTATACAGGGTGACATCAAAGAAAAACAGTGGATTATCTCTTGTTTGTGCTTTGGATTTGTCAGTGCTTCAAGAGAAAATGGCTTTCATTGTTGATTGCACTTTTTCTCCGGGGTCATGCAATAAAAGGCTCAAGATGGAAAAAAAAAAAAGAAAAAGAACAAAACAGTAAGAAGTTGTTTGAAAAAGTTAGGGAGCGAGTTCCTATTGGCGTCAGATTGAAAAGAAATTTCGAGTGCTACTTTCAAGGCAAGTCAGGTTTTGCTCCATTTTGAAGCTCCTTCGAGAGAATGTGAAACATGAGCTACAGTGCAATCATGAGCTTCCGACTTTGATCTTCTTGTTTCACTCATTTGCAGAACTTTCATGTATATATTACATTTGTTACTTGTCATAAACATTGGCTGGTCGGTTTGATTTTTTTTTTTTTCTTTTTGAAGGCCAATGATCATCAGCACTTGCTTTTCAACAACAGGTCTTTTTGTTCTTACTAGATATCTACTGAAGTTTTTTTTTTTTCGTGTTCTAATTTTCACTGAAAAACTAACAATGGAAAAAACAAACAAACAAACATTTTCTAAAGCACAAACGACGTGGATATGAGGAGAGTATGGACAACGGAAGGACACTATTGACTCCACTGGGATGTGTTGCGAACAGGGTTCTGATGGGTGTCGATGAAGTGGTGAACCTCCTGTAAATGTTTTCATTTGTTTCTTTTGGTTATGATATGGCCCTGTAGATTCTGATTCACTGCATTAGTCTTTAAATAAAAAGGAAACAAATGAGCGCGGCTACCGTTGTCTTTATTTGAGAGCACCGCTTTTGGAATGTTAACGAAAGCGGGAGGAAAAAAAAAAGT